TGTTCCGCCGCATTTTACATTACTATTCTTTCATGCTTCGTAATCAAATTTCACATTTTCGAAAATTATTTAAATAAAATTTTGCATTGAGGAATATTTACCCTTTTTTTTTTCATTTTCTTTTTCTTTTTGCAAAATTTGTTTTTTATGCTAAAAATTTCATATAATTTGAAAAAAAAGAAAAACTTTTGTTAAAATTTTGAAGAAAAAAGAGAAAAAGAAAACTTAAAACGTCTTGAAATTACTACAGTAAATGTAATTACTCGAAAAGTATGCAATGAATTTTTCATCTGAAAATTATTAAAGCGTACAATGAATGGCAAATACCCATTTGGAGGAGGAAAAAAACAATAAATAATGAGCCTATTAAAAAGCAATAATAAATTAATTATTTATTTAATTGTGTTTTCCATTGCTTCCTCTAATTTTCTTCATCATTTCTTAATTAAATAAATAATCCTTAGAAGGGGCACACTTTATTACAATTTAAATTTAGCAGCTAATTTATGAGAGAAAGTCAGACAGACTACTGGTTAGCAATCGAACAAAATAAAACCAATAATTTCATTTTACTTTAAAGGGGGTCAACAACAATTTACTTCATTCAATTACTTAAATGATGATGAGCAAAAAGGAGTTTTTGGATTCCAATATTCAGTGTTTGAATGGTTTCATTCACTATCATGAATACAAAATCTACTTATACGGATTAATTTTGAATTAAATGAATTAATCTCTTATAAGTATGGTGGAAATCTTGAAAATTATGCTAATTTCAAGGCCTTTAAATGAGAGTTCATCATTCTAATAATCAAACATTTTGCATCTGTTAATTGAAAGTGAATTTTTGTAGTGGAAATTTTAGTTTAATAATTTAGAATGTGAATTTTTTTTTCATGAAATGTTCATTATTGACGGGAAAAAAAAATTTGATTAATTGAATGTAAGTTTAGAAAGAAAATGATAAATAAATGATTAAATGATTAATTAAAAATAATCATAATTTGCGAGAAATTTATTATTTATATGAATTGGAAATCATTTTACAGATCGGAATGACAATCTCAACGATTACTTTGAACCTTCAAGTGCTCATTTTAGGCATAGATTTCAGTAAGTTTATTTTTTACATTTAAATTATAGAATTAATATATCTTAAATCGGGTGAAAATATTTTAAATTAGGAGTATTTTCAAACCAAAGGTCGGACATGTTAAAAAATTATGCCACATTAGCACTGTGAAAGAAAATTAGCTATTAGTCGGAAATTTTAGGATTCGAATTTTGTTTTCTTCAAAATGAAATTCCTTTCAAGTATGCAACATAAATTGTTATTGTCGACCTTAATTAGTGGTGCTTAAGTTTAAGGCTAATTTAATTTGTTACACTGATTGTATTACTCATCAACGTAGATTTAAGAGGGAATCGAAGAAGGCAAATATTCAAATGAAAAAGGGAAATTAGTAACTAAAATATATGAAATATAAAAAGTACAAAAAGTTTTTTTTAATGCAAAATTTATGAAATTTTTAAAAATTTGAAATGATTTCAAATTTGCATAACAAAATTTAAATTTAAATTTAAGCAAGTAACAATAAATTTCTTTGCAGGAATTCAGCTGAAGTATCAACACCACTTTTGTACATAATTCATACAAGCGATTCATCTGCTGAAGGATATGCAGCATTGGAAGAGGGTTAATTTTTGAAATTTTATTTCATTTTTAAGTATACATCAAAAATATTTATTTTTTAAATTATTAAATGAAAATATCTTTTGCGCTTTATGAATGAATGCTATAATAAATGGATGATAATAAAAGTAATGTGTATGCAAATGAGAGGAACAGATGGAATTGATGGAGATACATTCATTAGATGCTCATTATTGTGAACAAAAAGATAGTTTTGTTATTTCCAAAAAGAAAAGAGAATACCGCCTTTGTAATATGAGCGTTTTCAAATGGAAAGAGAGAAAGAGAGAGAGAAAGAGAGAGAGGTAAAGAGAGAGAAAGGGATGATACTTAAATAATGACCGATTATTTAACACCTGCCAGGTCACTATGAAGCATTAATAGATCAAATATTTTAATGAAGCAATAAATGATGATCATCATCAAATTTTTTAGGAAGGATTTTTTTTTTTTTTTTGTTATTCAATTTCATGATTTTATTTCCATTCTATGGTATTGGCGGAATTTTAAAATCTTTTAAATGTTTAAAATTTAAATGAGCAATAAAGTAATCATTTCGTACTTTTGTCATCATTTTTGAATGAAAGCTTTTGTTGATTATAAAATTTCGATGTCTAAATATATTTTATTGTAATTTAAATATGTATATTGGGAAGAGATAAATGAATCCTTGATAGGAATATCTCGAGATTTTCCAATATTGCTTCTCTATAAAATGAGAAATATTGAGAATTATCCATATATTCTTGTTGAGAGTGATAACTTTCTACTTTCAATATTTCAGCAAATGGATTATTAATTGCTTTTTTTTTGCAGATGACGCAGCCTGCGACTATCAGCTGAGTATATCACTAATGATAACCCTAATATTCCTGTATTTCATTGCTATTGTATGATTGGGTAAAATTCCTACGAATGATATATTGTTGATGGTGCACACACTTAACTGCTATAATTTTATCTGATAACATGTATTAATTTTGTCAGAATTATCAGTAACTGCAGCGAAATCATTTTTAAAATTTGTAAAACATTGCGAATAAATATAGCAATAGTCTAATTGTAATTCAAGCTGTGATGTTTATGAATGAAGCTTTCTTCTTCACATAATCACATCTCTCTAAACGTTTATCATTTTTATCATCATTTAAAATGATAAATGTAATTTTCATTATGTAATATTTCATATCATATAAATGTATATTGTGTAAAATTAGGAAATCTTTCTCATTCAATACAACAAAAATAATATCTTCTTCACTTGTGAACTCATTTCTCAGAATTTCTGCCCAATTTCTTTCCCTTCGATAATAAAAAATTGTTATCATTGGAATATTTCATAGAAAATTAAATTTAGTGGAAATAAATTTGAAAATTTTCGTTTTGACCATTCTTTGATTGGAAAATCAATAATGTATATTTAGTGAAATTTCATTCAATAACGTTATAGAAAGTACGGAAAGTAGATAATCTCGGAAATTTACAATATTGTTGAAGTACATCCGAAGATTTTACTACTTTTCAAGCATTGTCTTATCGTATCACATATATAATTCATAATTAATATATTGCAAAAAAAAAATCATCGAAATATAATTTAAAAAAGAAATATAAAAATCATTTCAAGCATAGAGTTTCAAAAATCATTTTTCAGGTCATCCATCAATAGAATCATTGTGCATAGCTTACCGCACTTTCTTGATATCATATTTGATTCCTTCCACATGCCTTTCGTGTCGATAGTATTGATACTTCATCAATTTAAAAGAAAAAAATTTTGTAACCTCTTGTTCGTTAAATGAATTCATATGATAATAAACAAAAAATATATGTTTCTAGTTACTTTTAAATGTTTTAATAAAATATCACTCCAAGCTTCTGTAGTGATATTTGGAATATATTATTCGCAGTCAAATAATTGGTAGAGAAATCAAAGAAGTTTTTCAGCTTCACTTGACTATTTTATCGCTAAATGTATATAATTGAGTTCCTCTTTTTTTTATTCTACAAGTTGAGAATAATGAAAAGTGATCAAATATGTTGCTATAATAATAATAATAATCAAATCTCAAAATATATGCATTCCAATATTTGTTTCGCATAGAAATACAGTGGGTGGGAAGAAATTCGACCAATGTTAAATTCAAGAAAAATGAGAATTTATGTCCTCTCTATTTGAACTTGAATTTTAAAAAAAGACTTGACCAAAAGTTATTTATCTAAGATTTTGGAGCCTGACCGAATGGTTCAGTTTCTTATTGCATTTTAATTTGAACCGAAGAAGGTGAAAGAATAGAAAAAAAAGAAAAGGAGTCAACTTAACGATACTGATTCTAACGTTAAAACTTAAGAGCATATTAAATTTGACGTTTTAAGCATTAGACTTTTAACATTATAAGTTTTAAGCATATAGTGAACAAAGAATCTAGAAACTAATTACCTATTGTATAATTAGGACTCTTGTAACAGCTCACAGATAGAAGTAATGGTCGGTCGATCTTTTGGATCAACAGCTATCATTGCACGAATTGCATCGAGAACTTTTTGACTATACCTGAAAACAATAGATGTTTAAACCTTAATTTTTTTAATAAATAATGAAATTTATTCAGGAACCTCTTGCGTTATTCCATTTCTTGCAACTGAACCGCAAAAACCAGAAATTATTTTAGAGCGAAAATTGTAATTTTCTACTCTGAATACAAAATGAACTTACGGATGACTTTCATTATAAGTAAGTTTTCCTGACTGAACAGCAAGTGCAATACTATCACCACGCTCATAGATATCATCGAATGGTGAGCGAAAGAAGCATAAGGCAAATAAAAGACAACCAAGTGACTGAAAATTTAATATTTCTCTGTCTTTATTTTTGGCCTACTGATAATAAATAAAAAATGTATGTATAATGCGAAATTTAATTACAATGAAAAGACTATTAAGAATAACACAAACCCAAATATCTACAGACTGATCGATTATTGAACCGACTTCACAAACAAAAAGTTCCGGAGCACGATAGGGCATTGAACATAATTCACCAGCTTCATCCTAAAGCAGTGAGAGCATTATAAACATTTTGCAAAAAAGTGATGCAAGAAAACTGAACCATATGTTTTAGTACTCTAACATTTTGCAAAAAACTGAACCATATGTTTTAGTACTCTGCAAGCAAAATAGATCAAAGTGTGAACAGTTCTAAAGTAATTAGGAAAAAAACAAAATTTTGACAAGCAATAGTAGAAATGCATCGAAAAAACTAACCAATTGCATTCTTGAATCTTTTCCATTATTAATTATTATTGGACACGCGAAACAACTACCAAAATCCATCAGTACCGGACGATCATCATCTGAGAGCAACACATTGGCCGGTTTTATATCTCTAAAAAAGACGAAAACTTACAGAAATTTAGAATTTAAGTATGAAAAATTTGTAAGTGGGATAGAATTTTCTTCAATGACGGCCAGAAAAAGGGACCTTTTCTCAAAAAAAAAGAAAATGATATCTAACTTTCTCTCATCTATTAGAATATGACTAAAATTATATGAGTTTGCCGAAAAGTAAAAAAAAATGCTGACCTATGAGCAATGGGAGGCGAAGATGAATGGATAAATTTAACAGCAGAAGCAATTTGTAGAAAAAGACGTATTACCCGTTCTTCGTCAATGTAATCACAGCATGAACGGCGATTTGTAAGTTCTTGCTCAAGACTACCGCGCTGAAATGATACATAAATACAGTATAGTACAACCCTAAAAATTCATTTAGAAGTTTAATAATTCAGCAGACTTAAAATAAAATAAGAAAATTAATGAAAAGAAAGAAAATTTTAATTTACATCTCTCAAATGTACATAACTTTTATTTCTATATGACTAATGTTTACTTTTTTTCATATTGCAAGAAAATATCTGATAAAACCAAAAAATTCAATAAGTTAAAAAAAATTTTATGTGATGATATCTACCAATATAAATACATGAATTAGTCTTTTTCTTAAATATCAAACTTTCTGGAAGAAACGAGAAAATCATTGCATACTTTGTAAAAGGTAAAGATAAGTGAAAATCGAAGGCCATGCGGAATTTCGTCATCCGTGAAACATTTCAGTGATAGGATGTTCGGATGCATTCCAAATCGTTGTTGCACATCTATTTCATTTCGAACACGTTCAACATCTGTTTTCGAATGACAATCAATCCGTTTTAAGGCAAATTTATGTCCACTTTTGTACTCCTCTATCAGAAATAATTGACTGAAGCCTCTAGAAAATTTTTTTTCTAATCTTTAATTTCACCATGGCCTTTTCCTCAAATAATTGAACAAATCTCCAATTACACTTTCTTTGAAAGAGCTTCATATCACTTAATTGTTGTTGTAAAAGATGCACTGTATTTGCTAGCGTAAAATAAACACCTTTCATGCCGGATCCTTTATTCTAACTATAAAATACTCGGATCGGAAATTTACCCTTTAGCGAAAGGTTTCAGTATTCGATACTGTTGCATTCCAATTTCAAGATCTGGCTTTCCGTAAATGCAACCCATTTCGCGTAGTTCTAAAAATCCAAATATATATATATATATATAGAAAAAAATAAATTAAAAGTTTCGAGTCGGAACGCTCTAGAAACAATTTGATAAAGTGCAAAACAAACCTCGCCAACAGAACTGCAAACTGGAATTCTACGGAAACGCCAGTATAGCAAACTCTAGCGCTTGACACGATCAACATAAAAATCGTCGCTAAGAAGCATTTTTTCTTTTTTTTGCCAATCACAGAATTAGTTCTCTTCTAGAAATCAATGAACAAAATGTAAGGGATGTGTTTCATTTCAAATAGTTCTAACCTCTATCATTCAAAATCTCAGCAAAAAAACAAAGTTTTTTTTTTGGAAAAAAAGGTAGGATAAGATATGTTACAGTAAAGGATATTACAGTAATTTAGCAAATTTCAAGCTGCAAAACAAAAATCACAACAAAATTTACTAAAATTTTGTTATCGTTTTAAAATGAATTGCTGATTACAACAGTTGCAGTAAGATAATAAATAGAGAAAAGAAATCAATACATAGCACCAAAGAATAAGGCAATAATTCCATCGTTGGATAAAATAGCACCGTAACAAGAAGATGATATTAAATTACAGAGTAAAGCTTGAAAAATATTGAGCTAGAAAATTAAAGCTTGCAATAATATAAAGCCATCGGATATATCAAATTACTTTTGATGAAGAAAAGATATCTGTCAATGAACAGCTAAATAAACATAAAAGATTATCTCGCTTAATTATAATGACCGCAATCCCAAATAATCAAATAGACAGTAGCTAATTTCTTCAAAAAAAAGAGTAACAAAATGAGTTCAAGACAAAATTTAACTATAAGCTTTATGATTAGAGAAAATATTAGTTCGAAAACAAAACGTGACGACCAAAAATCTGAACATTGGTATTTGATCAGTTAAAAATATGCCTTGTATCACTTCATAATTCATCTTTAATTGTTGCAGTTGCTAAATCAACAATATCCGAATATTCTGTATCGCTAAAGTAACCATGCTGATAGGTATACCTTTCCGGAACAACAATGGTAGGATAAATCGTATAAGCAATTAAATTGCGATGTGGATATGCATTTGCCCATGTCGTATTTGGATGTTTGTTGAACATAATTGGGATATATTCATCCACCGGTACAAGTTTTTTTAAAGGATTGCCATCAAGTAGTTTCCGAGCGCCATTTAGTGATAATATATAACCAAGAGTCCAATATGAATAATCAACGGTACTCAGATGTCGATGACCTGTAAAAATAGATATAAGTCAAGGAAGAATGCAACGAAATATTTTTCATTAAGTGAAAGGCATACCCAAATATTCATCACCAAATCTGAATAGTTGGAGAGGATTAAGATTGATTAAGAAGATTCAGAAATTACCTGACATACGTAGCATGAACTGCAAAAATTACTTAATGCACATTTAGCCGAATTATTGCAGAGAATATTAATGACTAATTGTAGGTAATCAGCTTTATATTATAGAATGTTTTTAAAAGTCCTCAAAATTAAATTAGAAATCGCAAAATTTGAAAAGTCGACATCTAATAACTTACCAGGCACCCAGTTTTCATTCGCACCCTCCAACCGTTTTCTGCCCAAATATATCAGATCCCATTCAATTCCCGAACTATCAATATCTTCAATGAGCTCTTTTAAAAGATCCGTTGCATTGACTACAAACCGCAAATCATCTTCGAATATAATTACACGATCTAATTTTTTTTCGTTTACTTCCTGCCATATGCGATAATGGCTCAAGAAACAACCGACCTAAATAAAAATTCCAGTTTAATTTTAAAAATATAATTTGATGATATTTAAATGAAGTAGTTGAAATAAAATAGATGTAACAAAAACAAAACATCCATTATTCTACTAATTTTCACATTGTTATATTTCCATAAACTTTACTTACTTCTCCCGTTTTCATCGGCCTTTTATAGTACGGATCCTCATATCCAGGCAAAAACTTAATCTCGCTGTATAAAGGTTCTGAATCCAAGTGGTGGCCATCAGTCGCTTTCCACCAGGTATATTCAAATCCCATCAGTTTTAATAATTCCATCATTTTAGCTTTTCTTAAATCGTTTAACAACTTTGAAAAATAAGAAACCACTTTTCACAAACTATTTCCATAAAATTCAACCAAAAACTATTAAGGCAATTAAATTTTTTTTACAAACTTATGCTCATTACAAAGTCATATAAGTAATAGAAGAATGAAATACAGAAAAGACATCCGTTTAGTGCTTTTGAAAAAAAAAGTAATTGCTGATAAATGTAATCGCCTTTATTTGACTGTAATTCTTGCAAATACCTGTCGTTTCGTCTTTCGAGATTGATAACATAAATTTTATCAACACCAAAGAGTGATGGTCTCGGATAAGTAACCTCCAAGAATGATGAGTGTACAATTGGCATCAAACCACTATTAGCAATCCAATCTGCTAACAGATAACGAAGCTATAACATAAGTTTATTTTGGTTTTATTTAAATCCTTTATAGATTTCATCAGTGATCGAGTGATAACTCTTTTGCAAAATATCTTATACATCGTTGAAACGATGAAACATAATCTTCAATAACAAAAAATGCAAAATAAATTTAATGGTGAATAGATTTTGAGACAAAAATTTTAATACTTTAATAACCATTAATTTTTCAGATCTGTGTTTTGATAATTGATTTTATAAGATGAAAAGCCAAAACTATAGAAAAAAAATCAGGTAAAAATAAAATATATCTATAAGTAAAGCACCAACCGCTTTTCGTTGAAAATCCAATGAACGCAATGAATGATTGAAAAAATAACCATAAAAATGTTCATTATCCACGAAAAATGGTATATTCATCCGAGATGCTGAATTTTCAAGCACAGCACTTGGCTCTTTAGAATCATTTTTAGAATAACCATACAAATTATAGGAAGAAAATGTTAAGAATGACGAATCGCTGTGTGCTAAATGTATTAGCAACGGTTCTGGAACCATCTTAACCTACAATATAATAAGAATAATTTTAGATGATATTAATTGGCCGTATTCTGATATTTATCTTCTGTATCTATATTGAAGTTTTTAAATGCATTACAATAGTCAAAAATACTACAGCTAAATATCCTAACCTTCTGCTTTAGATAAATTTATAAATCAATAGAAATTTAAGATAAAAAAAAATGTATCAACTTACTTCTACGGTAGATATTTCTCTTCGACTATTGTAATCTTCAGATATGAACACTGTAGGTGGATCACCAAATGGAGCAAAAAGAAGAGGAGCAATAGCTAATTTCTTCTTTTGCATCAATCTTTGTAGAATCCTATGATCCGTCAACAAATGATCACCCTAAAATTCGTTTTTCTTTTTCAAAATGAGTAATTTAAGAAATGTTAAAACAAAATAATTCTTAACTGCCTTTATATTTTCAATATTTTCAAACTCAATAAGAATTTACCGTAATTTTAAAACATTTTGTACTCGAATCGAATTTCAAATTTAATTTTCATCCCAAAATTCTAATGTAAGTCAGCCTATTTGTATGTACCTTTAGATAGAGCACATATTTTGCTCTACTACTTCTTGCCTTCATCAATGCTTCTTCATGCCAATTTTTCATATCATCAGTAAAAAAAATAGAACGATAATGCTTCTTTGCATCGTTTATCCATCTGTAAATTTATTTACAAAAAAAATAATTACGATCACTTAAATTTCTATTAAAACATCAATGCTAGTAATCTTTAATTGTATGTTATGATCATTAAAATTTTTTACATTTTATGCAAAACATTACGAAAATGCATTGCATTTTCATGTAATGTAATCTGCATAAATTACAAACAATAAATTGTTTCGCCCAATTACTTCGCTACATATAATCATAAACTAACTGTTTGATTTTTGATAAAGTTGCATCAATATGTGTTTCCAAGTATATATCAATTAGAATCTGATCCTTTGGATAGTCAAGATTCTCTAATAAACCAAAAAAATATGGTAATGCATGAGCATGATTCTGCAATTGAATAGCAATCGATAGCAATGGATAGAGCTGACGATAATCCGCTTCACGGAAGAATGCATTCTGAGCCGATGAATAGATGAAAATGATTGCAAACACGGTTAATATTAGTGCAACACAATGCATCTAAAATAAGCAATGCTTGATGATTCACTTCCCTTTGTTCAAGAATGATCGCTAATTAATGATTGTCGAATTGAATGAAACAGAAGAAAAAATCTCGAAAAACGTTGTTGGAAATTGGATCATCATTGTTGTTATTTCTATCTTGTTATTCTATCAGCAATAAAGTTACCTGTTATTTTATCAAAAAAATAAGTATTCTTAATTTGTATAAATTAACAGAATACTGTGTATTACGCAGACGAGAAATGTTGATTTTCTTTATTGATGAAAAATAATGGATGTGAAGTAAATTACTGTAAGATTTTGTTGAAAGTACGAATAAAAATCTAAATGAAATTTTTTGCCTAATATTTATATTTCAAAAAACTGCAAACTTCTTTACACGTTGAGTAAAAAAATTTCACCACAAGAATTAGCACATATTATAGAATATAATTAAATTTCATTGAAAAAGATCATAAATTCTTCTGAGATTACGCTAACTTTGGCAATTAAATCCAGAATATAATTTAGGAACGAAACAAATGCACCCAAAATTTCCAATCAATACAATAAAAAATTTCGACCGAACACGGGCATTTCGCCAGTGAAGCAATTGAGGGATCAATTTAAAAAATGGGTGAAAATTTTTCAAATAAAAATGACAGCACGAAAGCAAAACGCAAGATTGAAACTTGATTGCCTGAAAAATAAGGCCAAAAAGTTTTACTACGAGATAAACAAGACCAAATATGGTCAATCAATGTATGACAACTTATGCACATCCAATGACTGTATGTATTCTAGTCTTATTTGTTCAGTAAATTAATAACTTATCAAATATTATTAAAACAAACAAATTATGATTGAAATCAATTGATAAAACAAATTGGAAATATAATCTTATTTTTTCAAAAAGTGCAAAAAATATTCCTATAAAAAAGAACTTAGTATTGGTAGCTGAGAATTCAAATTTCTTCTACAGAAACTTAGCAAATACTCTGATGTTTTCATTTACTATTAGTCAAAAACGAAAGACAAATGTACTAAAATTGAATTTAAATTCCCAACATTGTAGAAAATGAAAACATCGCCTATTTTATCTCTATTATTTCTTTAGATCAGATAATACAAACGAGCATTCCAGGTGCTCTCATGAAATATATCCTAATTAAATCATTTTCACATCATAACCCGAAAATTTTTCTATAATTACAAGGTGATAAAAATCCGAAACTCTGTCGAACTGATACAGGGTCTACATATCAGACAACAAAAGATAATGAGAAAACAAAGCATCACACTGAAAAATACACAAACGTGGTTATACAAAATAGCAGCACTGGAAATACAAAGATTGCATTTTATATTAGATATAAAATTTCTTAAATCTATATATTAGAAAAATCAGCTCATGCAAGGTATTCATAGAGATCCTTCTCATTTTCCACCCTTTGTAAATATTCTTTTTCGATCAAAATATCAATGCATTTTTTAATCATTGGCACTTTTGGCTTAAAACGTGATGCTAATTGCGCGAGAACCTGTAATTATTGTCAGTTACTCTTTGAAACTCATTAATGCATTTTTTTTTATTGAGCAAAACTGACAATCATTTAAAACTTTTACAACATTAACTTGAACACTTTACCAAAAGAAATCGTAATACAGTATTTATACTCAGTAAAAACTCAGAGGAAAGAATATGAAGCGATCCGAGTAACTAGATAAATGACTATCTAGCTATTCTTAATTAAAGCATAATGAAGTTTGGCTACCTCCTAGTCTAGCTTATATCATACTTCGCATATGCTTACAACTCGAAAAATGTTTAAAAAAAAATTTCACTCGCCTCAGTGATTAGTTGAGTATGTTTCATTTTTTTCCTCATCTTCATAATACGGACAATAGCTGCCTAAAAGAACAAGAATCCATAAAATTATAACTGATGATACTTAAAGTATCCGGAAGTAGAAACAAAAACATTACGAAATATCAACCTGAACAACTAGTCTCCTATCATCTTCCACTGATTTATGTACTTCCACTGTTTCTTGACGTATTTCAGCGCGTGCCATCGTTTTCGACAGATCAACTTTTAATTTTTTGCTGAAAAATTTCGTTCTTGAATCTTTCCACGAATCTCTGATAACTAAATTCATTTGTCACCGGAAAAGTAATTCATACTTTGAAAAGTCAGAATTTAATCTTAGAACTGTTGCAAGAGGAGTATTTGCGTCAATATCAATCTTTGATCCAGCAATCGACAACAGCTCTACCTGTAAGCGATGCTCATAAAAATTTAAAAGAATAAAAAAATTTTGAATTAACATAGCTATTGAAAATCGATACATCTGCACTTTCTTTTTTTTATTTATTTTTAAAACAAACCTTGACTAGGGCTTGAGCAATTTGTGCAACGACTTCACGTCTAAGTTTAGTACTATCGCAAATGTGTTGCAATGTCATTTCTGCGTTTTCATTATATAACATTAGAACAGCCATTTGAGCTGTCGTAGCCTGGAAATAATATATTATCATAAAGATACAAAAGAAAAATAATCAAATACGAAAAGTTTAGGAGTTTCCTTGATAATTTATAATTATGCGCGTAAAATCAGCAATTCAACATCGCACATCCCAACTTAAGTGAATTCAATTATTTATCAGCACACAATGATGATCGATTTTCTGTGCAATTTCTTGGCGGTTACCAAAAGGGATTTTTCCCGTTCCACCTTTGCATTAGGCCGTATATCTTCCTCACAAATACACATCAGCATCAGGAAAATTTAGCTATATTTAGTAGGACGAACAAATTCTGTCCACCTATCAGCACCACCGTAATCACAAATTTATTTATTAAAAACAAAAATTACTTACAGTAAAGGTATATTTCCTTTGAAAACCGTAAGCTGAAAGTTCGCCACGACACTGCGCTAAGAGCCAAGTTAATTTACGACCCGTATGTTGTGTTTGGTAAAACCTAAGAAGTAAAATATTTTTAAGAAAGCCAAAATGATTCAGTTCTGTTTATTATTAAAAAGATTCTTTAAAAAAAGAAATGTTTCGCTTTTGCAGAGTTTCACAGACATAACGTCTTCAAAATGCATCACTTTCATCAGACATCCGTTGAAATGCTCATGAGTACACAAAATCCAAATTTTAAAAACTTTAACTTCAAGTCGATAAAAGATTTTCATTCCATCTACTTACTCATTAAATGATTCCATACATTTTGTGAGTTGCACAGGGATATCAAAAATAGGGGACTGACTAAAAGGCCATACACCTGACCCAAGTACCATGATTGAGAAATCCAATCCCAAGTTCATGTTTTTAGTCGCTAGATGCTGTTTATATCTTTCCGTTATATCCTGAAAAACGACACCAAATTTCAAAACAAACTTTTTCTCTCGCCAACATGTGACGAATAAATTTACAAATTATAAAACTTAAGAATTCATTTACGAAAGATGTATATGCATGCTAATTGCAATGAAAGTTATAACGACTTGTTTTTGATTGTAAAAAACTGGCAAATATTTGCAATGTCGATTACTTAATAATTTTAAAATAATCATATGAATGCTTCAGGATGGAGAGCTCACTTTGCTAAGACTGGTGTCAGTGAACATTCGCTGCAGTTTACTGGTATACTCAAATCCACACATCTGCTTCAATTTCGAAATCATGTTGCTTTCGGCTTCATCACTAGCACTCAACTCATTCACGAGCCGTTTTGCTAACATTTTAGTGTAGAATTTTTGAAATACATCTTTGTCTTCGATATATTTAAATACAATCATCTGGAAATAAAAAATGAATCCTCAAATTAAATTCTTCTCATAAAATAATAAAAACTTGTAAAGTTCGCTTTAAACTTTAAATTAAAAGAAAAAGATCTATACGATTTGATTAAGAAGTTCTTCGAGCTCATTCTCTTCTGGATTTTTGGCACTTTTCTTCAACAGAAGATCGCAATACCTTGCCAAAAGTTCCGGACTCTTCGATGTGTTCTGAAAATATATTTAAGCTAAAGTTTCAGGTTTGTTTTAGCTTTTGCAGATGGAACTAAATAAAAAACTAAAACTTACATTCGCCTTCTTTGTGACACTATTACGATTGATGAACGATGTGCATGCTTTATCCAATGCTTGCACAAAACCAGGTTCATTTTTGAAAGAACAAGTCACTAGGCTATGATAGCGTTTGTGAACTTCTAAAATTGTTGAAACATACTGCTTTGGATCCTGAAATCCAGAACAATTGATAAAAAATTAGAATTTCAGTCTGTATTTTATTTGCTAAATCAAATAATTTTAATCAAACACATAATTATTAGTAAAGATCTCAGAAGTAAAAATTATCTGGATTTTAGTAATCCAAGATATTGTGCGGTCTCTTTGTGCTTTTAGTTAAATGCTTCGGCGCTATTGAAATATAAAACTAATTTTTCTGGTACTTTAAACACCAACATTTATAGCCATATCGGAGATTTTATCCAATGCAGCTTCTCCTTGACGAGCAATATGCTTTTCCAGTGCAAGCCGCAGCTCATCCAAACCATTTTCTACCCGATCACAAAGTGTATACATGCGTTCCAAATCAGAATCCTGAGATTATTAAATTTTCGTAAAACAGTCTAAAATGTGGTCAGAAAGTTGGAATTCTAAATCAACATAAAAAGTAGCTGGAGTTTTTTAAATAAATATCCTTACTCCTGAAGTTACCAAGTTTAAAGATGACCTTATTCGATTCAAGCAGATTTCCAAATTCATTCTGGAATAAATCAAGTTGCTTCGTGATAAGTACTTTTTCCAGTGTTTTTGCCAGTAAATCCTGTGTTGATTCATGAAGATACAGGTCGCAACGCTCCTTTTCTTCTTTTAATCGGATTTCTACCTTAAGAATTTTAATCAATTTGAATAAATAAAAGATATAGAACATTGTAAATTTTTGAAAAAATCCTAACAGCTGATAAAAAATAGGATAAAATCAAACCTTTTTCATGTATTCAGTAACAGAGTTTGCAGCAATAAATTCGGCTGCTTCGTTAGCAAAATAGCTTTCCGTATCCGCAATGAAGCGTTTTTCAAAGTAATCACGATAAACCCGTAATTTGGGCAAACGATCAACATGAGTCGTCGATGAACTTGCTGCTTGACCAGCAGTACTTATATCATTTTCATTAACGCCTAGTTCCACTAAAATAATCATAGTTCAACATAAACTGCTTAAAATAAAATCCAAACATACATCGAAGGCTGACATAATGTTGGACCTATTTCTCTCAAGATCCAATACAGTAACAGTAAACATTCGACTTAAGTAACTATTCCTGCTAAAAATGTATATTTTTTAAACAATTTGAGCGCAGCAGGGGACTAAATAATTAGAGCAAAGCATTGTCAATGGAGGCAGATTTTTTTTTAGGAAGGTATTTTAAAAATGTAGCAATTCTGTTTAATGAACGTACCATAACACTGGATCACTCCACTTATGAGTTTCGTTCTGATTTTTTCCCCATTCCTTTCACGTTCAATTAATTTCAATACTGCACTTGTTACGCTGTCGCGCATATGAATGAAGAGAAACTCTTTCCATGTTACAATCGCTAGCTAAAAGTGGATAACAATGATAAATCATGAATCAAGAACTCAAAAAATAGCAAGACTTTCAAATTTTCTCAAGCTATAAAAATTATTCCCTAATGAATAGTTGCAATGATGATAGAAAAATTTCGAAAAAAATTGTGTTAAATGGATGAAAACATGGAAAACAAAGATGTTTGGCAAGTTTTATATACAATAGAAAAAGATCATTACAACATAAATTTCGTAGATGTCCTCATTTCCTTCATCTAATTCTCGCTTTATCCAATGACGATTTAGGTAGCTGAATATTCCTCCTACTACTTTGGAACTAAATCGATAAGAATCCCATTGTGTGGTGAAATAGTTCAGAATATCCTCACCACTCAAATCACGTCCTTTCTGCAAATGAAGTTGTTAATAAGTTAAAATAACTATCATAGCTAAGAAAAAATTCTATCAAAATTTACAAAATCATAACATTTCATGAAAGCACTAGTCTTTACCTACCTAAATCATTAAAATGTACAGGACAAACCTGATATACATTTTCAACATAATCCTGAAAAAAACGTTTCAGATGATTGTAGAGATCTAAACCAACGAATTCAGCACCAATCGACCCAGGATTGCTACCACGTGGAACACGATTCGGACGATTACGTGATCCAGTACGCTGTGAATCATTGTTGTATGCGACAGATGTGCAAAATGTGTATACACGACTATAAATATTAAAATATTCATTCAAGATGATTATCAATTATCAAAATTGTTTCCTTTTTTAAACCATTACTCGGTTACCGCTGTAACAAGGAAAGACTTCAGTACTCTGAATTGCACATTGCATTAAAAGAAGTGAGAGATAAAGCTTCTGATACCATTGATAAATCAAATTATTTTAAAAATGAAAAAATTCATTATTTAATTAAAAATTTGATAAAATTTTGACTACATAAGGAATCTACTTGTAGAAAAATTTACATGCTTCTTCAGAATTTTAAAATTTGTATAAAATCTACCTATATAACTGCATATAACGAGCTGGCATCATAGTTTGCCGAGCGTAAACTTCTTTAAGACCCACTTCCATATCGCCCCAAATTTCTTCAATTGAAGGTGTACTACGAAGACCCATTTTATCGGCGGTATCTGCTATAGGTATGGATCTTTTGCGTGTATTACCTGTTCTCATTAAATAAGTAGTTTCTTCAGTTGGCCTGAAAATTAACTTCTACAATTTGATAGACCGAAATATATAAGTTTATATAGTGAATCACTGTTATTGGAAAAATTAAAACAAACTTTTCAGCTGTTCAGATGAAGAAATAAACCGCACACTGTTAATGCAAAAATATAAATAACATAAAAATATCTATGAATGAATGATACTGAAAATTCCCATAACTTATATTCGTGAAAAATAGCAGACAAATACTTCAAAATGTAAATTTTTAATTTTTAAAAGTTAAACCTAAAGAAATGAAAATAATCTTTCATTACTTCAAAACTATGAATTACAAATTTTATTCTTTTTGTCAATGTAAAAGAAAAACCTCACGTTAAAAATGTGAAATTTGTTTTGTTAGTATTACATATTATAACTCACTGTTGCTTGTCCTTCTGAATCGTCTACAATACGACGACAATAACTGATCTTGCACAAATGAATCTATTTCGTATTCACTGAAAACGATTAGTTTTTGTTAACACTGATTGATAAATTAGCTTATTACGCACCTAAACTCGAAATCATCGAAACAATCAATACATGGTTTATGACGTCAGATGATGAATTCATTCATCGATATGATATGAATGGTCGATATTCAAGCAATAGCTGCAGCCTAAGATCGCATAACGTTTGCTTCCACACTCCAATACAATCGATAGTTGATGAAGTTGAAAAAATGTCAAATTTTCACTATAAAAAGAAACATATTTAAGGAAAAAAAAATTATCGACAGAACTTGAAATTAATCGTTTAGTATGAAAAATGATACAATCTAATTAACATTCTAAAACCTTAAAAAGTCAGTTAGATTTTTTTTTTTCTTCTTAAATATCCACAAATAGGGAGATAAAGAGCAAAATCCTGCCTCATTTACTGTGATAAATTGAAGCGGGATTTGGCCTGACGTAAGTAAATACCGTAAACGAGCACGTTGGGAAGTATTAAACAAAATCGGGATCCTTTCAATGTCCGAGAAATCAAACAAACAACAAACAGAACTGTTGTAACGGTGAGAAATTTGATAAATATAAAGTTTAATTTTGTCAAAAATACGTCCCCCACGTCACAAACTCTACTATACGGAATCATGAATCACGCAAATTACCATCGTGCTCACTCTCTCATTCTCATATTTTCCGTGCAATGAAATGTTTCAATGAAGCGAATCGGTTGTCTCAAAGTGAACCTACGCCCACAGGTGTTTGCGTGTGACGTTGGCTGATCGTAAAAGCATCCAATGATGAACGTGCAGGTGTGTGTGTGCACGTCTGTGTGTGTGTGTGTATATGTGTGTGTATGTGTGTGTATGTGTGTGTATGTGTG